CAAAACATAGTGCATTAAAAGACAGCTTAAGTGCAGAATGGCCAACTTATTTGATTGGTGCTTTTTACAAGAGTAAGAAGAATTGGATTTTCTTCAATTTTCTTTGACTTTTTAAGTGAAAACTGGTCAATGTGTATATGGATAAAGTCAAAGGAGTGCGCAATGCCATTTTTTTGCAATTCTGGGATGTTTTCTTAAGTTAAAAATAGGTCAACATGTACATGGATACCGAGTATGTGCAATTCTTAAAAGCACCCCAAGCAGTAGGTGATTCTGCACGTTCCCCTAAAAGACAAACCAAGGCAGTTTTTGTGGCAAAAAGTGCAAGTCTTAAACGTATTTAACTGGTCAATGCTGGATCCTTTGCTTAATCATTCAAAAAAGTGCTTGAAGCTTTGTACAAATTATTTTTATTCATCACAATAGCTACATTATCGGAGAAACACTTTTCGAACCCTGTCTGTTGAAAGCAACTGATATTATTTTTGGAAAACAACTTATTATGGCTGATGCCTGGTGGCATAGCTAAGGTGGGGCAAGGGGAGACATCCGTCCCCGGGCGCAGCATCCAGGGGGCACCAAATTGATGATACACATTTCAGAATGAAATGATTTCCATTTTTGGAACACAGAAAGGGGTGGAAAATCTTTAGGTGTCCCTGGGCACTGAAAACCTTAGCTATGCCTCTGATGATGACATAAAAATCAGTGCAGGCTGTGAAAGAATCACATTCTTTCTCAATACCGTTGGATTAGAGCACAGATGTTGCAATATGTTGTCAACCGTTAGTTTTCATTTGATACGCACAAAATGAAACAATTAAAGATTAAGATGCTGTTTTCTACAGTGTTAGCAACTGCTACAAAAGTTATTCATATAATGACAGCAATCTCTGAACTCTTTTGCAACTATAAACTATCATCGCAAAAGTTGACAGACATATGCACAAACATCACTCCATAAAGGCAAATGACTTAACTATGCCTTAAAGTTATACAGTACAAAGTCAGTAATTCGGACGTCCATTATCCGGAATGATCTATATATCTATCCGGACCTCAAAGCCACAAACTTTAAGCATGCCCGCGTTGAAAGAAATGTTTAATAAAGTAAACAAATAAATATTAAGCTCTTTTTTTTTTTTTTTTGTATAATTTGTTACACTTTAGATCATAATTGTTCTCTATTTGATAAATTACGGTTTCATATTTTTAATTGTATAATTTCTGCATGCCATCTTACCAGATTAAAATTGATGATCTATAATCCGTAAAAACCCCTAATCCGGAATTGTCGAAGTCCCAATGAGTCCGGATTACGGGCTTTGTAGTGTACATCAAAATTGCAAATTATGTTAAAAAAGAAAAAAATATTAAATGCTTTATATTTTATAGTCCTTTATGAAGATTTCGGAGCAGAACACGAAAACACTGCAAGTTTATACAGATGTTGGATGGTTCATACAGATACAAAAGAACACATGATAGCACGATTATTTGAACTTTGAGATGAAGTAAAATTCAAACTGAACTATATGTGGAATTCTGAAGACCAAATACTTTTGATTCATTGAACTCATCGAACTTGAAATTTACAAGGTGAGATTGAAAGTGGAGATTCGACCATAGTTTATCATCAGGATGCCATAACAGCATATATTGATAAGTTGCAACTCTCAGAATATAAAACTTTAGCCTGCATTTTTAGCACTTTATTATTTTTAGCACAAATTTTAAGCACTTATTTGTGCAAAATATTTTCGGCACTTGTAACAATAAAAATGAAGTATAAAAGCAAACTCAATACTGCTAATGATTTACATTGCACACTTTCACTGAACATTTTGTCAAAAATAGCCAGCTCATCAGTCTTTTTTTTTTTTTTTCTTTCCCATGTGTATGTGAAAACAACAATTTCTATAATAAACCTTTGCAAATACACCTAAGGTGTATGCTACTTAGTTAGAATTTTGCACCAACATATATGTTTGTTACTAAACAGTGCTCCGTTAGCAGAAAAATACCAAAAACTTTTACATAGCTTATCCTAGATGTGTCATAAATTAACTTTTATGCGTTGAATTTTAGCTAAAATAAAACAGAGCTTGAAGTATGATAAAAACATATGCAACTTGAAAAGCAAGAATTATTACATTAAAATTAAAGTGTTATCCATGTAATACACATACAATTAAGTACACAGAAGTATTATAAATTTAACAATAATATCATTAAATGAAAAAAACTTTCCGAAAATTTAATCCTAAACCTTATGTAAAAGTCTTTTGAAGTCATCGTTCGGCATAGATCCTCCAAGAACAACTGATTACGAGAGAAAAAGATAATGTGTGGTAGCTTGTGTCGCATAACTTTATTTGCTGTTTTATATAATTTCTGTAATATTTTGTAATGCTTATAATTTTGTAAATTTAAATATTTTTTTATGCTTTTAAGATATTTTCTATTTTTCTAAGAGCGGGCCCTTTGTTAAAATTTTCGCAGTGCACTGCAGCTTAAACAGCCAGTCCATTCACCTTGAAACTGATGTATACGATGTTTGAACTAATTTGAAACTGATGTTTGTATGAAACCGAATCATTAGGTTGTCATTCCATTCATTGGTCTTATCAACTTGAATATAGTGAGCCTGAGTAAAGAGGGAAATATCTTTCGTAAATATAAAAGGAACGATAAACACATTTCTAAATAAGATTATTAAGAATCCTTAACCCGGGTTTGCCGTTTTTTCGCTGTCTCTCCAATCTTTTTTTAAAAATGAATGATTTTTCTTATAGCTGCCATCAAGGAAGGGAAGAATAAGGGAAAGAGTTCTAAAATTAGATATCTTGTTATCGCCACTCCAGGGTATGTCACACCCAGTGGTGCGACCATTGCTGGTAGACGCACTGAAATCGCAGTCTCATTGTGGAGCGTTTTCAAAGTTATGATGAAGAAATGAGACATTTAAGAAATTTACTTGATACTGTTTCTACTGAATAAAGTCTTGAGAAAGGTAATGAGTTTTCCGATAATGAAAAAATTTACAGTGAGCACAAATCTTCGCCTGAAATAGAATCTGACTTAGAGGGCAATTTTTCTGATTCAAATTAAAGTGACTATTTTATAGGAAATAATATAAAAAAATAAAGTAAAATGAAATTCTGTGGATGAAATTGCTGCAACGTATTCAACAACTAAAAGAACATGTCGTTGGCCTTCGGCATTTTTTTATTCCATGTTGAATATTGCTGCAATAAATGCAAGCATAATTTTTGTTAACAACCAAGAAACCACCTACTGGGCACCGAGCGACGCTCATTTCTAAAAACACTGGCATTACAAGTGATAGAAGATTATAAGAAGATAAGAAGTCAAAAAGAAGTAAAATTGGGCAACAATCAGGTGGATACACCTCCTGCTAAGAAGGTAAAGACGACATATAAAAGATGTGCTGAATGCGGGGCCAAAGAAGACAGAAAAGTTTGCCTACGAAAAATGTGAAAAACGGACCTAAAAAAGGAACATTTTGTTATGTTAATAATAATAATTTGCTGCATTTTTTAACTCCCCAAACCCCATAAACGTTTTGCGAAAATATAAAAAACTTTATTTTCTTTTACCGTAATAATCCGTAATGTTCGTTGCGAAAATATAAAAAACTTTATTTTCTTTTACCGTAATGTTCGAAAAATAAACCCCATAAACGTTTTGCGAAAATATGAACTAATAATGATTTGCGACTTTCAAACTTTATTTTCTCTTACCCTAATGTTCGAAAAGTAAACAGAAAATTTCCCTTTTCCTCCTTCAGGAAAATTCCCTGTGTGGGTTGCAACAATTATCAGGGTTACCATATTCTGGCGCACGTACGCTCACTTCCGATGTAAACAAATCCGCAATTTCGCCAAGTGCCGGTTATGGAAACATCCCCTGAAAAACATGTATGCATGGAACATATGGCATGCAATTGCCGAAAATGTGCAAATTAAAGGTAAAACTATTAACATATGTTTAAAACTATATTTTCTCTTCCATGTTTTTGTTCTTTTATATGTGCAGATTAAGTGGTAAAAGAGAGGAAGAAACCGCCCTGGGTATGTATCATACCCAGCGTGAGCAATCCCGTTCGTTTTTTCTCGCGCGAATAATGCCGGGTTAAGAATATCATTAAGATCCTTTGGAAAATTTTATGAAAAAAGCATACAAATTATGTGTTACGCCAAAAAGGGAAAAAAAAGGTAAACATTTCTGGCTGCACTTAGACATGCAGAACAATTAAAGGAAGAAAGTATGTCATACACATAACACGTAGTCACATTATGCGCCAAAATGTCTGAAATTATTAAAACATTAAAAATTCCTCTTATTTTAATGTGACAGATGAGTCAAACTCATTTAAGACTCTAAATCATAAACTCATATTTTAGCAAAGGAAAACTTAACTAACTGAAAATATCACTACACAACTTTTCATATTAGAGACGATACAAGAAGGCATACACGTTGGGTTGCTGAAATATTAAGCATAAACAGACAATAATTAACTGGACTCAAATGTATTGAAAAACTGTTGACATAAATAACGAAATCAGATATACATATTAATTTATTTTACCTTCAAATTATTTATCCATCATCACGCTTGGCAGTTACAAGCTAATTTATATCATTACAGTTACAGTTTCCTACAAACTAATTCGATCTTGAAAAAGGTCTGTGAGAAATTTTTATAAATTATTTAGAGAAATGGAAGAATGTAGTTTATAAGTATTTAAGAAATATATTTTCTGAATTTTATGTACAGATTAGTTTAAATATTAAAATAAAATTCTACACAGTAACGCGATTTGGAAGACAATGTGATGAATTAATTACTTTAAAAACATATAAAATTTATTTGAATTATTTTTATGATTATTGTTGCTCCTTTTGATGAGTACTGATTTTGTGCACCTTCATTGCCGTTTATTCAGAAGAAAGGCATTAGAATCTGGCAGTATGCTGCTGACGCAATGATTTTTGTTTGCGGTATTTAATTTTATTGTTATTGAGCGTTTTGGTTTATCGGTTTTTCGCCGAATTATTTATGCGTGAGCTCTCATTCACAACTACTGAGACACATTCTATCATATCTTTCTTCTGAAAGTTCGAAAGCGTTAGAAATGTCTGATCTAAGTTTGTTAATGGATATGGGCTTTCCCCAAGCAAAAGCGTAAGTTCGTTAAGAAGATATTTATTCTGTAGTGTTCGTTTCTAATATCCAACAATTCATCTTGTTTTTTTTTGCAGTAGAATGCATTTTTCCAGAACTCTGAACTAACCATTTTACTGAAAGATACATTTTAATTAGCAATAAAAGTATGCATTTTAAAAAAACCGAACAGTAAGAAATAAAACTGCTTTATTTATATGTGACATAACATAGACTTAGTTGAGTGTATATACAGTGGCTCCCAAAAGTGTTCGTACACTTATGATTTTCATTGAAATAGGGATCTATCCGTTAATTTAAAGTAAACTTTCTGAATGAGATTTTAATAATAAGATCTATAATCTATTCGTAGTAAAATTACACGAAATATTTTTAAAATATAGCGAAAACTTTATTTTTAAGAAATTAATAATAAAAAAATGATAAACATTTTATCTCACAAAAGTCTTCGTACACTGAAATATTTTTGGATAAAAATCAAAATTAGAATTACCATTTGCCGCTTTTTTTAATTTTTGCATTGTGGTGCAAAATTATAAAAATTTTTAAATGCATTTTTGGATTTAAAAAATCATTTGTTTTAATTTTTTATTGTTTACTTCATAATATTCTATTTATTATTGAAAAATGGGTTGCAGTCGTAAAGAAATTACAAACAGCATTCGAATATTGATAATTTGTCACCACAGTAGAGTTAAATCAATTCGAAATATCGCTAAATTAGTTAACGTATCACATTCTACAGTGCAGTATGTGATAAAACGCTTTAAAGAAGAAAATCGGATTGAAAACAAGGTAAAAAAAGGTCGACCGAGAAAGTTAACTAAACGTGATGAGAGATTTATTATTAGAAAATTTGTGAAAAAACCCACATTTGAGTGCTGTGAAAGTTTCTGCAGAATTTAATGCAAAATTTTCTACTTCAATTTCACCTTAAACTGTTCGACAAGTTCTCAGAGAAGCTGGATTAGTTCGGTGTTCCGCCCGTAAAAAAAATTTTGTTAGTGAGAAAAACAGAAAGCTTACGCTTTCATTCGCAAAATCAATGATAAACACACTCGAAAGTACTGGAATAATGTCCTATTTGCTGATGAAAGCAAATTTAACATTTTTGGTTCTGATGGTCGAATAACTGTATGGAGAAGAAAAAACGAACTTCATTCTAAGAACTTAGTTGGAACAGTTAAGCATGGTGGTGTTCTTGTGGGAGGGGCATGACAGCATCAGAACTAGGTAATCTGCTATTTATTGATGCCATAATGAATCATTCTCTGTATTTAAATATTTTAAGAGACAATTTAAAATTATTATCCCAAAATTTGGATATTGGAAACAACTTTATTTTTAATCATGATAACGATTCTAAGTATACGGCTCTCAACATACGCCTGTAGTGTCTCTATAATTGTCCACAGGTTTTGAAAACACCACCTCAGTCGCCAGATTTAAACCCCATAGAACACATTTGGAAAGAGCTAGAGATTAGATTACGAAAACACGACATCAAAATGAAAAGCGAACTCAAAACAGCCATGATGTAAAAATGGATGAACATTGATACAGAAATTACAAAAAAACTTATAAAATCTATTCCCAGATGTTTAAAAGCTGCTGTGGATGCATAAGGATATCCTATTAATATTAATTCAACGAAAAATGAAAATATTTATGTCAAGATTTTTTTGAAGTGTACGAAGACTTTTGTGAGATAAAATGTTTCATTTTTTGATTATTAATTTTTTAAAAATAAAGTTTCACATATTTAAAAAATATTTCATGTAATTTTGTTACGAATAGATTATAGATTCTTCTTATTAAAATCTCATTCAGAAAGTTTACTTTTAATTAATGGATAGAATCCTATTTCAATGAAAATTACAAGTGTACAAAGACTTTTGGGAGCCACTGTATGTATATAGAGAAAGAGAGTTCAGAGTTAACAAAATCTCGACTTTATACTACACATGCATATAAATGATGTTACCAACTAGTATTTAATTTATGTATGTGTTCTTGTCAAATTTTATAGTTATTGAAGAAATATTTGCTAGATAATGACGGATTTAAGTAATTAAGAACTACTGAGACATTTTATATTTACATGGCTAATTAATCTGAGTGGGAAAAAAATATGGGTTAATAATTAAATTAAAAAATATATTAAGAAATTTGGTATGTATGATAATTCAATTTAATATGCTGCATCAATTTAAGAGAACATAAAAAAAAAAAAAAATTACCCCTTTCTTTTAATTGAAACTGTAAGCAGCTCGTTGTAAAAATGCAAAATTTATTTTGGGGATTGCAATTTGGCATATTGTAAATTCTAAATGCTGTAAATAACGATGAATTTTTTTGTGCCATTAAGAATTTAACACAAGTAATAAAAAATCTGAGCTTATCTTTGGAATATGGTAACAGATAGTTTGGCGACATTTTGGTAAGGCGATAAAGGTTACCACCTAGGACTTTAGCAGTGTACATGGATAAAGTCAGGAGTGTGCGCAATGCCATTTTTGTGCAATTCTGGGATGTTTTTTTTAAGTGAAAATAGGTCAACGTGTACATGAATACTGTGTATGTGCAATTCTTAAAAACGTAGCAAGCAGTGGGCGATTCTGCACTTTCTCTCAATTTCGCTCCTAATCTTCGTCATGATTAAGCACTTTTGTTCCATAAAAGTTCTAGTATAAGCGTAATTCGGCTAGCAGATTGTTGGAAAACCCATGCCTTTACTTCGTGAAAACAAGATGGCATCCAAGAAAAAACTAGCAGGTAGCTGTAGCACTGTTAGTTACCATAATCCGAAGATTAACCATAAATCTGAGAAAAAGTTAAAAAAAAGTTATCTTCATTTTCTTTATCCAGTTAATATGTATATGGTAGATAAAAGTTTTTTGCTGGAGTGTATGTTTTCCTGGAAAAAATTGCTTCTATTTTAACTATGTATGAAAATGCTTTTTTTTCCTCTGCCCTTCAAAAAATTAATTTTTTCTAAGTAGATTTTAACCCTGTTTTATGATGAAACACTTTTTGGGTAAAGTGCAGAATCGCCCACTTATTTCTTTGGCATTTGTTTGGCACTTTTTAAAAGGGTAAGAAGAATTGGATTTTTGTCAATTTTCTTTGACTTTTTAAGTGAAAATAGGTCGATGTGTATATGGATACCGAGTATGTGCAATTCTTAAAAATTCGCTAAGTAGTGGGTCATTGCATTTTCCCCCACCTTTTCAGCATTCATTGTTATAACATGAATAGGTCAGCAACTAACCTATGCAGTAAATTATCAGACTAAATTATAATTTATAACACATCCATGGTTAACTGACTTTTACTGAGCTACATATCTGTACGCTGTACTTAACAAACTAAAACTCAACACTTCAACTGAAATCCATTAGCATGATTTGTGTAGAGTTTAATAATACCTAATAGCCATCCAGATAATTTGTAATATACAATAGCGATTCAGATGGGATAGTTGTTAGTGTTGCTGACTACAATACCGAAGGCCTGGATTTGAATCCCAGAGAAGGCATAGATGTTTGTAAGCACATAGCAGGGATGGCCAAACTTCAAGATGATGGAAGCCACATGATAGGTTTTTATGAGCATTTGAGAGCTGCAAGCAATCGTTTAGAAAGGAAAAATTAAATGAATACATGTCTACGTGACCTGCAGAGAAACTATTATTCAAGAAAAAATATTTATTTAAAAATAAGCTATTGACTTGTTTAGGATTTTGCTTAAAAAGTAATTTCTCCGCACAATTAACATGATCAACATACTGAGATCTTTAGATCCTAAGGAATTGTTAAAACGTTTTCTTCAAACCTTTGGAATAACTAGAAGAATTCACCAAAAAAGGGATATGGTTGCAATTTCGGTGGTATTTAAATAATTTCATGGCATAATCTCTCTCATATCTCTCATGGCAGCCCTGACTTCTGCAGTATTTCAGCATGACATCCAGAGGAATCTGCCATAATGTTTTAGTAATCAGTACACTGTACATCATTGAAAATTTTTGAAACTATCTCTCGAATCATTCTGATAATTTTGGACATAGATAAACAAAATTTATGAGCATTATTGAAAATTTTTGAAGCTATCACTCGAATTGTCCTAATGATTTTGAACATACATAACGAAGTTCATGTGCATCATTGAAAATTCTCGAAACCACCTCTTGAATCGTTACAATAATTCTAGACATATATAACCTTCTTCTTCTTCAATCGCCAGACAGCCCAGGAGGGACCCTTGCCTTCCTCAGAATCGAATTCCAAGCTCTTCTATCCCTGGCCATGGACATCCAGTTGATTATTTTTAAAGATCATAAGTCTGTAAAAACTGTTTGGAAAGTCAAGCCATCTAAGTTTAGGTCTCCCTCTTTTTCGGGTGCCGAATGGTCTGGCCGAGAAGATCTTTTCAAGTACTCGATTTTCATTCATTCTACACAGGTGTCCTGCCCATTTAATTCTCTGAATCCTTATATATTTTACTATATCTATTCCTTTAAAAGATTTATAGAGTTCAGAGTTAGTTCTTCTTCTCCACATCTTGTTACATTTTATGCAACCAAAAATACTGCTCAAAATTTTTCTTTCAAAGACAGAAATGATACTTTTAGCTTTTTCTATCATTGCCCAAGTCTCGGCAGAGTATGTAAGAATGGGTCTGATTAAGCTTTTGTAAATTAAAATCTTCGTTTTTCTGCTAGTGAAGTTAGACTTCAAGTATTTTTTTAGACCGAAAAAACATCGGTCAGGGTTCGTAGCAGTCCTTATATTTGAAAATAAAATATAAAGGCCTTTATAGGTGTTTACTTTTTCTTTAAAGCCTTTAATTTTTTGCTTTTAGTGCTTATTTTTTGCTTTTAGTGTTTTTTTTTTTTTTTTTTTAATGAACGCGTAATTTTCCCCCGTACCAAAGCCGAAACTAAATAAATAACTTTTCTTCCTAATATGGAATGTCAGATGGTGAATCATACTCCCGGA